TTTCCTGAAACTCATCTGATATTAGCACTGAAACTCCTATCCCAGGAAACTTCTCAGTCCAGGCAAATTGGGATGGCTTGTCAATCGGTGCCAACATAAAATAATGCCCTACTTTAAAGGAAATAAGCAAATAGTTTATTCTGAACCAGATGAGTGACCATGGCTTAGGAACACAGATCCAAGTTACCCTGAATAACATAGGGAAGAGGTTGCATGGTCACAAATCAAAAGAAAGTCAAAAAATTAATACATGTACCAATTACACTGGTGGAGACATTAGGTTAGTGGCCTACAACAGAGTAGGAAATCTCTTTTATAGGTTTCAGATGTTGTCTTAGAACTATATTCTTGGCTTTAGGGTTGGTGGAGAATAGCAATCTGCTAAGCTTACTGACATATTCCAAGAAGTTTATCTATTAGTTATGAGAATGGTAGATCAGATGCAAATGTTAAGGTAACTAGCTGTTAAAGGATCTAAAATAGTCCAAGTCCTCAAAGAACTAGGATTAGAGGTTCCATTTGACCCAGCTATCCCTCTGCTGGGTATCTTTCCAAAAGAATTAAAAGAATCATACCACAGTGATATATGCACATCCATGTTTATAGCAGCACAGTTTACAATAGCTAAAACTTAGAAACAGCCCATTTGCCCATCAGTTGGAGACTGGATAAAGAAGATGTGGTTTTTCTATAAAATGGAATACTACTCAGCCATAAAGAATGAGAAATTGGAGTCATTCATAGGAAAATGGATGCATATTAAGGATATACTCGTAAGTGAAATAAGTCACACATGTGTAAATACTGAATAGTCTCTGGTGTGAAAAACTGTAATTGTAAATAAGATCCTAATGGTATAATTGACAATGTGTAATAGGAAGGGCTAAAGGAGTAGGGTCGTGGGAAGGATAGGGGAAAAGGAAAAAATATGAGAAAATGAAAAAATGGAAATAAAGTATTTGTAAATAAGGAAGGGAAGAGGGGGTAAAGGGAGGGCAGGGATAAGGGGAAAAAATGAGAACCAAGACCTGTCATGTAAAGGTACAAGATCCCAATGATGAATGTAATTGTACTGTATACCTAAAATGCACCAATAAACTCAATGAGAAAAAAAATAAAATAGTCCAAGATAATTTTGACTCTCCACATATAACATCCCCTCTCTCCATGATCACAGTATTCCAGTTAGCCAAAGATAAACAGTCTGCAATATCATTAATATAAATGTGGCTTCTTCAGAGAATTTCAAATCACACCAGCATTACATATACATATTACACTGCTTCTCCATGGCAAGTTATAAAATAGTAAGTCTACATGGGTCTCTGTTCCCAGTTCATACCACAGAGCTGGTAAAATTCTTGTGATTTCCTTACTGATAACAGGATATTTTGTTCTAGAGAGGAGACTCACTGTGGACTCTTGAATAAGAGCTGGTCACCAGAAAGACCAAGCTACAATCAGAGCCTTGGAACTTTCAGCACCATCCTTCATTCTCCAAAGAAAGGAGAAAGTCTAGAAATGATGTTAATAATTTTGTCAGTCAGCTTTCAATCACTGTGACAAAATAACTGAAAGAATCAACTATAAAGGAGGAAAGGTTCATTTGGGCTCATAGCTTCAGAAGTTTCTGTTCATAGTCACTTGGCTACGTTGCTTTGTGCCAATAATGGCCTAGTACATCATGGTGGGAGTGGATGGGAAATGAGGCCTTCTCACCTCATGGAGGCCAGGAAGCAAATACAAAAATGAAAGGATGAGTGTTCCAACACTACCTCAAGGGTATGACCCCAGCAAACTAACTTCCTCACTCTAGACCCCACCTCTTTAAGGTTCTACCACCTTGCAGTGGTGCCATGGGCTGGGGACATATGGGCCTTTGGGAGATATTTACAATCCAAACCATAGCAATTACTAATCATGCCTGTGTGATGAAGTATCCACAGAATCCCTGAATTATGGGGTTCTGAGAGTTTTCAGGTTGCCAGACACGTTCGGGTGCATAGGGGCAGAAGCTTCTGGCTCAGGACCCTTCCAGACCTGACCATACACATCTGTCCATCTGACTATTCATCTCATTTCTTTATTATGTCATTTATTAATATTGTAAACTGGTGACATAAATGTCCTGAGTTTAATGAGCCATCCAGCAAATTAAACCCAATGAGGGGGTTGTTGGGACCCCAACTTATAGCCAATTAGAAGAGTAGGTGACAACCTACTTCAAAAAAAATGAAGATTGTCATTGTTGTGAGTATTTCACTCTTATTTTGCTAGGAGTGTGAGTGGTATCTAAATTGGGGGGATCTTTAATATATAGAATACAACCTTAACTCCATGTAGATAATATCGGAATTTAATTGAATTATGTCCAGAATGTTGAAAAGTTGCCTTATGTAGAAAACCACACATGTCTAATCACACAAGTGTTCTGTGTTGAGTGGAACAGTTTGCTCTATCCTCTCTTACACCAAGACTTGCAGGTCCAGGAGCTAAGTGGAAACAGAAGTGGCACCCTGGCTATTACTCTGACCCTCTTCCAGAGTGTTTGCATACTGGTCCCACGACAGTATGCTCTGCTAGTCTAGAGGTCTTAGTTCCAGAGGGAAGAATACTTTCACTTGGTTCGATGGAATGGAAGGTGTGATGTCCTGAGCCACAGTGGACTCCTACCTCTGAATCAACAGCCAAAGAACAGAGTTCTAGTCCAGTCGCCTGGTGGTTGATCTGGACCACAGGGGGAAACTGTCCTCCCTCCCCCCACAAGAGGTAAGGAAGAATATGATTAAACAAAGGAGGCTCTTTGGGGTGTTTCTTAGTATTATCATGCTCTGTCATCAAGGTTAATGGAAAAACTGAATCAAGGCAGAACTGCTAATGGCCAAGACCCTCAGGATGAAGGTTTGTGTCATTCTATTTAAAGAGCCACAGCCAACTGAGATGCTTGCTGAGAACAAAAGAATTACACAGCTTATGGTGGAAGAAAGTGGTTATAAATACCAGCTACAAACGTGATAAGGTACATAAATGAGGATTGTAATTGTCATGAATATTTCTTCCCCTTTTTACTATGAATATGTTTGTGTGTGTGTGTGTGTGTGTGTGTGTGTGTGTCTTTTCTCTGGTTCCTTTATACAAGATGCACTGACTTATAGTATTGAAATTCTGATAATTTTATATCATACTATTGAGTAAACGTCACACAAGGATTTTACCTCATTTTTGGGGAAGGAGTTAGTACACAAGAGTGTTGTATTATGTTAGGTGGGATTATGACATTGATATTGACATTATCTTGAGATTAAGTGTGGTTTAAAGAAATATGTATGGGTGCCAAGGGGTAGCTGTAATGGCTGATTTCATGGTCTACTTGACTGTACCAAGAGTCCCAGAAGAAGCTATTCCTGGGTGTCTTGAGGGAATTTCTGGTGAGGTTAGGATTTGAATCTGTGGATGCAGTAAAGTAGATGATCCTCTACACATATAGGCAGGCGTTATCCAATCTACTGGGCTAGAACATAAAGTAGAGGAAGGAGGAGTGCTTGCTGACTTCAGCTAGGACTTTTACCTTCTTCCCTTGGACTGAGATTTACACCATCAGCTCCTCTGACTCTCAGGCCTTAGAACTCAGACTTAATGTACCACTGGCTCTCCAGATTATAGATGGCAGGTGTGGGTCCTCTTGGCCTTCATAATCAAGTGAGCCAATTACTCATAGTAAAGCTCTTCCTCTTAGCTCTTCTCTGGAGTGTTTGGACTAATGCAGTCGTCACAATGTTCTCTTTAGCAAACCCTTGTAGAGTACTCTCAGGTGAGTCTATCACAGTCTCCCTTCCAACAGGCTCCTACTTTCTGTCTCCCAGAAACTTGCCAGGAAGCCAGAGTACAGAGATCTCTTAACTGCAATCCACAGAAATCAGCCTCCCAGGCACAGAGCAGGAAGAAAGGAAGGAGAGTGATCCAGGGTGGCAGGAAGGCGGAGCCGATGGAAGATCCCGGAGCAAGGAACAGGGACTACATGCCCCAGGTTCCGGCTCAGCCCCACACTGTATTATCCTCAATCCAGCCTTCATGTTTTACGGGCCCCGATTTTCTTATTGTAAAGGAAGTGCGGAAAGTGAGACATCTGTCACAATGATAGATCCCCAGCCCCCTTGCCACTCAGCCCACTCCCAGAGGGCTCATTATCCAGCCTGTATGCAAGGTCTCACACACCGGCACAGGCTCTCCAAAGACAGAAGCTCTGTCAACACTCTGTGCAGACCCAGTTGACACGATTTGCCACCCAGAAAGCTCCCCGTTCTATTTCAGGGTCTAATTGAAAGTTGCCTCTTTCAAACTAGTATTTGTCTACATAGAAAATCAGTTCATAATGTTAATCACGGGCCCTTTGCCCGGAGATTCTGATCAAAAACACCTAGGGTAGGAATTCTGGGACGGTTGTGCACCACACTTCAAAGCCCAGTGTCTAGAAGGACAATGCTGCATCGTGGTGTGAGGATTTTTTAACAAAAACGAGCTATTATTCTGTAATGGTTATTTTTTAAAACAACAATAAGAGTTTTGAGGCATCCAATCCACTTAATGTGGTGCAGCATGGAACTACTTGCTAAGTAGTAAAATTGCTGTTCAAAACATGATCAAACGTCAACCTAATCAGCCAGGTGTTAGACTCTCAATCACAAGCCTCAAAACACATAATCAAGTATCAATAAACAGGTGTTTTAAGTGACGATTGAGGTAAACAGTCGCCTTTGTGGTTATTTAGGAGGTTCTGCAACATTAAAACAGAGCACTTCACACTCAAGAAAGCTGGCTTCAGAAGCTTCCCTGCTGAATAAATCCAGGCAATAATTAGCACAGGAGATTTTAGACAGATTGCAGTTTTAAAGCCTTTGGTCTTAGCAAAAAAATCTGTTTCATTTGCTTTATTCCCACTACCTTTAATGTCTCACCCTTATGGTTGGTAATTCTTTAAAAATTCACTAGAACACACTTACAGTTTTGGAGTTTTTAGAGAAAACTGTATCCAGATCACAGGCGTGCTCTCATCACCACGATGCCAGGGATCCATCCCACCTGTCCCTCCAGTGTGCCAAGAGGACCAGGAGTTCTGAAGGAAAATCAAAGTTCTGCTTTACAAATGGCTTCTCAGTGGCCCAGTAACAAATCCAACACAAGCTCATGAAAAATCACTGAAAGATCTGAGGAACAATTTAAGGCAATTATTTGTGGAGCAATAGAAGTGCTCTTTTTTAAAGGCAATATTAATAAAACTGGCTGGTCACTTAGGTTCATTACAGTTCATCCATGTGATTTCTTTTAAATAATGATGAGTCGTCTTAAAATGGTACCTTATTAATATCTGTTAATTTCCTGTGATTGCGACCAGCAAGTTAGTTTTGAAAGGATTTCTTATGCTTCGTGTTCTATTTCTCTTCCCTCTCCCCATGGTTGTATCACCCACCAATGTAGTCGTTTCAGTTCCCATAATTTTACTTCCCACAGTTAAAGGAGCTGTTGCAGCATTTGGTCATTCATGACACCAATGAACCGAAACTCTGTCATCTTTGCCACCCAACAGATACAAAGGTGTTTGTGGCATCAGAAAATTCTATTCTCGATTGTGGATATCACTCCTCTGAAACAAAATCAACAGACTCTAGCCAGAACTGGGCAAATCGAAGGTTCTGAGATGGAATAAGCCCCCAAGGACTCCATCCTTCCCTCCCACTGAAAGCTGTTACTGGTTGAAGAACCACATTAGGATTTCTTCACATCATCTTCCTCTTTTAAACTGTGGGATTCAGCTTGGAGCTGGGTTGTGTGTGGGTGGGGTGTCTCAGGACCTGCAGACTGAATCTATTTGCAAGTTTCTTCTCTAGACTGGGGAAGCCGACCATCTTTGGGCTTCTCTCACTTTCCTGTATCACCTAAGACTCTTCTTGCTTTGCTATATGTTCACTCTCAGCAGCCCAAGAGGCATTAACCTAACTTCTCATTCTGCAGGCAGAACTCAGCAGCCCTTCAACACCTCCACCACCGCCATGGATTCTACTGCATCAAACTGGACTGGAATTTCCTCTGAATTCCATCATATAAATGATTCAGACCAAGTCAATCAATATTTGTATGCTTTTATGTGCTTCAGTAAAGCTTTGGTCTCTCATCTCAAGGAGAAAATAGAAATCAGGTAGAAAGGCTATCAGTTCTTCACCTGCCTTCTCTAACACAGTGATGCCTTCTTCCTTACCTTGTGTCACAATGGAAAAGCTCCCCCCATTCCCTTCCTAGACTAATTCCTCCACTGATATTAGCAAATGAACTCCAACAGCCTCACTCTCCTGTATCTTTAATTTCTACCCCACTTTTAGTTCTGGTTCATTATCATTTGTGTACAACAGAATCTTAAAGTAGAAGTTGAGAACAATGCATGGAGATATTATAACAGTTACATCCCAAAGGATGCATTAGCTAGATCCTGTGTGAAATTTCAATACAACATAACCAAAAAAGAGCATTATGACTTTTAAATTCCTTTATCCACACGGAGAATAAAAAAGATCCAATGAGTAAGGAACAAAAGGCGATTTTTTTTCCCTTGGTGAAGCCATTAGAATGCAGACCTCTCATCCTCTTCCAGCCAGTTGCAGGGCTTTACTGGTACCATTCCAAAAGATCAAGCTGTCCCTGAAGCTAGGGGTGTGGAGGGATTCAGTTCATGCCTGAGGAAGTTAGAGCAGTGAGTGGCCACAGGGTAGAAGGCTGAATCCAGGAAGCAACCTCACTGGTGCCTGGAAGCGACTACCTGGAAAGGAGGATGCCACAGTAAGGGCTCTGGGCAATTTTCAGTGGGCAGGGACGGAGGACAGCTGAGGATGGGATACAGAGTGACCAGCCAGCTAAGGATTTGCAGTGGAAAGGCCTGAATGGACCTTTAAGGAACCCTGGAAAAGTCCAACCAGAGTCTGCTAAGAGCCTTTTCCGACGCAGAGACAACAAGCTCATCTCTCCCCCCATCCCTGGGAGAGAAACAGGCAGGGAAAGCAATGAAAGGTTAGGTTAAAAGCGGAGCAAGGGGAGCCCATCACTTCCACCAGCACAGCAGGAGGCCTGCTGGGAACAGGGAGATTTAACATTAAAACCAAGTTCAGAATATTGATTATCACCTTTGAGTAGGCATTCGCAATTGAGACTGTGATTGTAATCTAATGTGATTCCACACTTTCATGCAAGAAAAATCAAATAAATGATTAGTGTTTCACCAGACTTAAAATAATTGGAGACACGTGTAAGACCACGTTTAGAGAAACACTCCATGAATGCTGATGTCCCAATACAGATGCAGAGACAGAGGATGCATAAACCTTTTTTAATGGACTCTACACCAATTTCTAGTTTTGTCTTATCTTTTCCTCACCCTCACTCAAGATTATTTTTTTAAGAAAAGCTTTTCGCACAATGACATTGTAAAATATCATAGTCCACAATTGCACTTTTCTACATTCAGTCATTTGCTGTTTAAATACATTTTTAATGTTCAATCAACATAGTAATTGTATATATTCTGGGAATACAGTGTGACATTTCAGTGTACATAATCTGTACCGCATGTAATCAGTACGATCAGATCAGGGTAACTGGCATACTTATAACCTCAGACATTGAGAATTCTTTGTGTGGGGAATATTCAAAATCCTTTCTGATAGCTATTTTGAAAAGTTCAATTAATTATTGTCAACTGTAGTTAGCCTACCGTGCTATAGCATGTTCGAGGTTTTTCCTTCTGTCCGGCTGATCCTTACACTCATTAACCATCCTCTTTCCATCTCCCTTCCCCCAGCTCTTTGGCTTTATCTCACCTAAAGCAAAGCCATCTTGTAGTTTCTGCCGTTTCCGTGATATCCAAAGATTTATAAAAGTGTTGGCTTCTAGTACAGAGGCTTTTGAAACTTGCCACATCCATTTATGTGAGAGCTAGTAGATATGGTATTTCCTCAACATTTTACCGAACAATAGGATATTTTGATTATCTTCTACTCGTATACATTATGATATCCAGGGACAGGGCAGGGGTGTAACCCATGACAGAGCACGTGCCTAGCATTGCAAGGAACCGGGTTTGATTCCCCCCCACCAAAAAAAGATATGTAGAGACAGTAAAGGAAATTCTAGGGAGATGATTCTGATACAGAGAACATATTTTACACTGGATAAGTCCAACTTTACCAAAATGTCAATATATAATTTATATTACCAAGCATATTCAGGAGCATGTCACTACATAAGAACAAAAACCTAGACGATACAGAAAGGTTTTGTTTTTTAAATGTCTCTCCCTGAAGATTAAGTAATAGTGTGTGAGCCTTTCAGAGCTTTTCTCTAAGCGTATAGACCAATACAGTTTTGTTTTTACAAAATGAGATATCACACAACTGTTCTGCAACATGTGGATGTGTTTGTTTTAACTTAACAGTGTCACAAACAATTTTCCAGATTAGAATAAACAATTCACTACTTTGAACAATTGCATATTGTTTTATCATATATTATGGTCAACAAATTGTTTAAGCATTTCCTTACAGATAGTCATTTCAAAGTTTCTATTATTGCCAACAATGTGACTTTGTACATCATGTACAAATATCTTGGAACAGTTATGTAATCATTAATGCAGGTGAAAGTCAAAAGTAGTTTTCCTTTCTCGAAAAATAAGCGTGTTGTCAAGCATGGTGGTGCATGCCTATCGTCCCAGCTGTCTGAGAGGGTGAGGCTGTAAGATTGTAAGTTCAAACCCAGCCAGGGCAATTTACTATGAGACACTCTCAAAACAAAAAATGAAAAAGGGCAGGGATGTCACTCAGTGCAAGTGTCCTGGATTTGATCCCCAGTACTTCCCCCCCCCAAAAAGGTTTAAATTATGATGATACCAATGATACTCCAAAAAGATTGTGCCAGTATGCCCTCTCTCTCAGTGGACAATATGGATCTTGTACGTTTTGTTTGTGGTGCTGGGGATGGAACCCAGGGTCTTGCACAGTGTACACAAGTGCTACCAAGCTACATTTCTAGCCCTTGAAGTGTTTGCCCTTATTTTGTTTCTTGTTTCTGTTGTTGTTGTTGTTGTTGTTGTTGTTGTTGTTGTTGTTGTTGTTTTCTGAGACAGGATTTCACTATGTAGTTCACCCTGGCCTTGAACTCACTATGTAGCACAGGTTGGACTTGAACTTGCAGCGACCCTCCTGCCTCAGCCTCCCAAGTGCTAGGATTATGGATGCGTGCCACCACTCCTGCCAATCTGATGGTTTCAAAATGAACTTGTCTCAATTAGCCTCTTTTAATAGTCAAGACGAAACATTTTACATTCTGGCTGCGCGTTTTAACTTCTTCTAGGACTTGCCTATCCTCAGCATTTCCATCTCTCTGCTGGAATATTTGCCCTGACTATCAATCTATACAATCTCCTTAAGTAAAAATAGCATCAATTTTGTGATGCTGATCACAAATAACTTTCACAGCTTTTCTCTTCCTCTCTTTTTTTTTTATTTAGTCTGTGTGATCTTTCCTTACCCCACAGTGACTTAGTGTTTGTGGTAGTCAAGTATATCCATCTTTTCCTCATTATTTCTGTTTTTCCCATAATGTTATGCAGGGCTTTCATCACCCTGTATTATAAAAACATTTACTCATATTTTATTCTAATATTTTCATAATTTTATTTCTATACTTACTTCATAGAGTATACATTTTGCTGGAAAAAAGAAACAAGAATGCAATAAAATCATATACTTCACACCATTTCACAATCATTTTCTTCATGTAATGCAATGTAAACATATTTCTATGCTAATAGATATAGTTTTACAATATGACTTTACACTGCTTCCATAATTTATTTCAGTGCTCTATTAATGGATAATTAGGTTGTTTGCAACTACATGAAATAGCACTGTGATGAACTGATGGTAGTTAGATTCTCATCTATTAGTTCAGCGATGCCCTTACTATGCATTTCAGACCCTATGTTTTCTTCAAGCCCAGATCTTGGCCAGTCTTCTCATCACAGTGAACATGCAACTTCATTCATTCTTTGCTTCACCTTTGATTCCTTAT